AGATATAAGATGTTTGAAGTGTCTGCATTAGAAAATATTTAATTTTTGAATCTGTATCTGTACGCTCACAATTTAAATATTGAGTTACTTAATGAACCATATAAACAATTACTTTTGATTAATTGGATGAACATTTCATTAGGCATAGTAAAGAAACAAAACTGATACAGACGAAAAAAAAAGTAGAAAATGAACAAGAAAGGTTAAAAATAATATGTAATTAGTCAAATATACTTCAAGTTCAAGTGCTAAATACAGTAACGTTGTTTTGGTCATAAGATGTGAACTTTATTTCAAAGTTTTTTTTGTTTACTTGAGTGCAAGTGTTGTCATTATTGTTCAGAATTATATTAATTGTTTGTCCGTATGTATGTGTGTATTTTTTCTATGAAGCAGAAAAAGTAAAAAAAAATGTAGATGAGCGAGTGGAATAGGAATGAATGAATGGTTAAGTGAGCGTCCAAACGAATAAATAAATGAAAGAATGAATGGATGAGTGATTCAATGATTATTTTCTGTTGAAGTGTCATTTGTAGTAGTAAATATATTGAAAGCGCATGCGATGCAGCGACCAATTTAAACGGTATGGTACCATACAATTTTCGGCTTGCATCGTCGAGTGGTTAGTTTTATGAAACTTCTTCAGTCGTCTTGTTTTCGTTTTTTTCTTAATGGTTCCACTTTTCATTAAATTTCTCTATACCTAATAGATTAATTTTTTATCTGATAGATCATCATCTCTTTTGTCAAAAAAAATAGTCTTAACTTTTCTTTTTTTGGCATCTCTATATCATTACTTTTTTTTCATTCTGAAATATTGAAGTAAACAGTGGCACTGTGTTAACAGATGCAATCATGCTTTTTTAATTCCCTCTTTTAGCTTCAATAGAGCCAATATTTGTTTGATTCACTCTAGTTTGATATGATTTTGAACAGAACCGTGATAGACAGTAGCCATATGATTACCCTTTTTTTGTCATTATTGCTGCTGTTGTCATTGAGAGATATCTCTGCCAAGCAAAACAAATTTATTACTGTCCATCTAATTGTCTAGTCTATGGCTCGCCGTTTGTGGTACTCAGCTAGAAATCTATTGTCTGAAAAAACGTAACTTATTATACAAATACATTACCATCTGTGCACTTTCTAAGAACGGATCAACTTCAACTCAAGAAATTGTAGAGTGACTTGAATTTCTGGTTAGGGGTTGCTTAATTCAAATCAAAAAGTTCAAAAATGTTTGCAGATACTAATGTGGAAACTGATACCCTAAAAACTCGAGAAGCGGTGTGTGCTGGTGTATATGAGTTTGGGAGTGTGTTTTTGTGTATCGAAAAGATTAGGTATAAATTTGTTTCATGAAAAAGTCAGTATGTGCCATCTTAGCCTGTTTTTGACTGATAGCTGTCATCAACTGCGGAAAAACGCTTTAATTTAAAAGAATTGTAAAAATAAGTGTTATATAAGCTCTTTCCATTTTTGCTTCTTGTCATTTAGTTTTTCTTACCGAAGTGTTTTTTGTTTCTTCACTTTGCTAATTAGTTCTCAAAGTAATTTTTTTGCCGTTTCTGTTTGTTTTGACCTGTTTGCAACAAAATGCCAACAGTGAGGAATCATCTTGATTTAATCGCTATTTGAAATTGTTTATATTTACTGGCTGCCTTCCCCTCACTGTTTTCCTTTAGCTTAATTGAAAATAACTGAAACTTCTCTTCCTGTGTATTCGTATATGTGACAAATTGAGAATTTATGTTTGTAAAAACATTGGTCGGTAGGAAAACAACAGTTAAGCATTATTTTCTTTGGTTGTCGTCAAAAACTCATTAATCGTTGTTCATTGACAACGCCGAGTGTTGTTGTTGTTTTTACTTCAGTTCATTAATCGCATTTGTTGCTTTTATAAACTTGTTATTTTAAACGAAGCAGTTAGTCAGCCGCAAAAAAAAGAGTAATAATAACTGTAAGAACAATTAACGCTTTTGTTTATCTTCTAAAACGATAAAAGGAAATTAATGAGAAATTTTCATTTTTCTCTTTAAACCCAGTCTTCTCTCACTCTGCCATCTTGCCCTTCTACCAAGTTTCCGGTTTCTTCCACCCTTGAACGTCTCATTAATCATCCGATCAGTTTAGGGTCAGATAAGGCGAGGCAATCACGAAAAAAACATTAGCAACAAGTGAAAAGAAAACGTGGTTTCCTTTTATTAATTTAATTTTTAATTTAATTAACAAGCGTGAAGATCTGAATTTGTCATCCGTACTGCTCGTCTTTCAGGTATTTTGCAATTGATTAAATCCAGAATCATTCCCCCAAAGTATCCAGTCAAAATTTCTTCTTTTGCTCTTTGTTATCATGGGCAGTAGCCCAGCTGATGCGAAACAATTTTCTTTTGTAGTGTATGCGGTTTTCAGGCATTTCTTTTCCCGTCCAAACATTGACTGTAGCTTGTTCGTATTTGAACATTTTTTAAAGTTTGGTGAAAATGCAATGTATCTTCTTCGGCTTCAGAAATTACATCGTAATGTAGACCTGTCAAACTGTTGGAGTACTGTCAACAGTTTTAAAGATCTCATTAAGTTATTTTTGTCTAAAAGCACAACCATGTTGATGTTGTTTTCATAAAAAACTTCACGAAGCTACCGCAAGGCACAACTTGAAACCATATTTAATTCTCTATAATTTATCAAATACTTGCCCGACTTCTGTAACTGCAGCCGTCTGCAATTACACGTAGGTAACTGTTATTTCTTTCTCACTGTTTTAACCAACTTCTACCAGAAAAACATATTTTAAGGTCAATATCTTCCCGTTTCAAATTAATATTTACAAGTGAAAAAAACAAATAAGCTTCAAAAAATAACTGAATAAAAGTCATTAAAAAATTATTTGCCCGTATAAACTGTTAACCAGGATACGGCTCTTAGTACTACTACTGTCATACCTAAGTCTCAATTGTTCGCTTGATTTTTCAAAGCGAAAAATAGACAAATGCGAGTTGCAGTCATGAAGAAACAGTTGCGAGTCAGGCGCATAAAATTATTCTGCTGTGCAGTTGAAATTATTTTCAAAACAAAATAGAGAAAGCATTTTCTTCTGTCATGTAAATAATATAGCTTAAAATACCTTTGATCTGCCTAAGAAATTGTAGTAAAAGGATAAAAACGCTTGAAATAAACTCGTTTTACCCAAAAATTGCAAACACCACTGCAACTTAGCTGGTATATCATCTGAAACTATTTATTTTAAAAATTTAGACTCGGATATACATTATAGATGACTTTATCAACATTAGGAGAAAAGCTGTTTTTTTGCAACCTTTTCCGAAAGACTTGAAATCACGAAACATCAGGTAGTACCTATTGTTTTACACACGTTTTCGAGGAAGAGGAGATAGAAGATTGTTGGACATTTGACGTGAAGGTCAACGCGACCTCTACCGACTGCTGCATACTCAAAAGGTATGCGGAGAGAAAGCCTATAAGGACAATAAGATAAGAAAAAAAGTAATTTGAAGCTATAGGAAACGTCAGAAGACTGAACAAAACAGGTCGCAAAAAAAAAAAAA